AAAAAAAAGATCACAAAAGCCTATTATTTCCTAATCAGGAAGAATAATGACATCGTATGCTAAAGGAAGAAGTTTTTATCCAGACTGCTTAAACATAGAATCTAAAATAACTCGCTCAGTTTAAATTGAAGCTATCCTTCCCACCCATATCTAATCATAAAGAACCACACAAATAAACAAGACATGGCATTCATTTTCCATATTTCCTAATTAAACAATCCTTAGATAAGCAAGCAAGTCTATGGGAGATGTCTCTTTCCTTATTCAGTGTGACTTCTTACCTGTCCACACTCTGCAAGTGTTTCTGTTCTGGTGGTACAGGCCATTCTCCACTGAAACATCAGAGCTTTCAAGATAGGAAGAATCAGTCTATCTGCAGTTGGTCAAAGCTCCCACTTCTAGTTCTTATTAGCTATAGTTCTGTAATTCAGCTTCTGTGTCTTGGTCTCATCCATATTTTTTCTCTTTCATCTGTTGGTCTATCTTTCACCTTTCAGTTCTGCAAGTAGTATGTGTGTTTCATAATAGTTATTATATATCTATTTTATATATTAAATTCCCAAAGGAACAAAAATAAATGAGTTATGAAAATCTTCAATGGGAAAAACCAAGAGAGCTTTCTTCTTTCTGGCTTAGAGCCTAACACTTTGGTTAAGTCACTAGATTTCTGTGAGTCATTTCCATGGAAAATAAAAAAGAAAAACAAAAAAGCCTTAGTCTATTCCACAGTATTATACCAAAAGAAAGAAACAAGTATGAAAGATTCAATCTGCTAATGTGTTCAAGAGAAATTCTAAGTCAATAGAATGTGTAAAAACAGTGACCTCATTAATCAGTAATTTAAACCAGCAGATGATAGCTGAAAATATCACACCAGATCCCAGGGACACACACAGGGTACGTAGATTTCCTGTCATACTCAGAAATAGCCGTGTAGCAAAAACACCAAAACTCAACTTATGAGCATTATAGGCATAAGTGATGGCCCAATCATTCTCCCAATCCACAGAAAGAGTACTGTAGACTCCATGTCTTTCTTCCTACCTTAAATGAAAATATGTAGTACCCATGTCATCAGAGCTATAGCTAGTCATGAAGATTTGCCTCATGAGCGAGGAAGGCATGTTGTGTCTCCTTCCATTATGCAGTGAAACATCCTGCTGTCCCCTCAGTGAAAACATATGAGCTGGAGATATCCATGGAAAGTCCTCCAGAAATGGAACAGAAGTGTTTATATCTATTCTAAATCCCTTATGACTCCCCACACTAGTCCATCACCACTGCCTAATCTGGGAATTCACTTTCACCTTCATGTTCTGACTTTCAGATTATGGGGAGGGGGGGGAAATGTCACCCGTCTTTTTAACATCCAGACTCTGGCTAGGAATTTTCCTCTTTAATCTACCACTCACTGCTTCCAATCTTGGTGTTTCAGATCTAAAATTCAACCCAAACAACTCCTTAATGGCTCTAAGAGCTAACAAATCAATTAATCCTAAACTCCTTATGCCAGGTGAACCAATTTTATAGGCAGGAGAGTAAGTGGGAATCTGGCTTGAATTCTGCGATGAATGATGCAACAGCCAAGCTGGAGAAACAGCCTTAGAAGCCCTGAATCCCCGTCTCCTATCAAATGCCTATAAAGAACCCTAGATCATCCTCCTTCAAATTATTTATAGGTGACAAAAAATATTTCTAATTATATCCATTCACAGCTACAGTCGGTGAATATTGTGTAAAGAGATTGCCAAAAAAGGTTTTGCCAAGTAGTTTCTCAGCTAGGACAGCTGAGGTGGCTGCTGTGTTTGCAAAATGGTCACTATAAAAGTAGAGATGAGGTGCCTCAGTCCTGTCCTTCCTCAAAATTCTTAAAGGTATGTGTAAGCGAAGGAACACTTGGCTAGTGTTACAGTCCTGATGATAATTATTTTTCATCTAAGGGAGAAAGCTACTGTTTTCCAAGTTATAATTTTTCTTTCCAACATTCCAGATGATTACATTGTACACAATAGAAGTATTAGCATTTTGTGGTTAAATTGAAGAAAAAAAAAAGAATCCCACATTCTCTTTTTTGTTTTTTCTTTCAACAGTAGTTCTCTGCTTTGTGCCTGCCACCTTCCTCATCTGGTAACACAAGAGGTAAGAGTAATTTATTATTACACTCTAAAGATCAAAGGGGTCTCTATATTGTTACATCTTAATGAGCTACCATTTTATTTCTTAGCTTAGTTTTAGGAATAGGCTACAGGAGCAGCAGTTCTTTAAAAATGACTTCCGATAAAATTTTGCCTTTTCAGTCTATTTAACTTCAGAAAGAATGCAACCATCACATTAAGGTGATATCAGAGAGACCAGACTGCCTGGTAAAATCAATAATGTGTTGATTTGGCAGTCAAAATTTCTAGGTGCCAATCCAGGCTTTTCACTGACTCTAGTTACCTGTCAATCCAGTTGACTTTCATGTATCTTGAAATATAGTGTGTTGCAGTGGAATTAGCACTGGACCTGGATGGACTCATGTTCTAGCACTGCCTGTGACACTGAATAACCCTTCACCTTTCTGGGTCTTAGATTCCTCATCAGTAAAATAAGGAAGTTGGACTCTAGTTGACCACAGAGGTCCTTCCAGCTCTTGCTGTCTATGACTGAAGTCAATGGTTTCCAAGGACTTCTTAACAGAATCAAAATATTTTTAGTGAAACTCCCTCCAAATGGACATGTTGGAACCTGTACTTTTAGTATTATGTTTAAAACACATATAATGATTAAAATCTACTATAAACTTAATAATCATTTAAAATGAATTTATTAACTAATAAGCCAAAACCAGTTGCCATCAAGTCTGAATCATGGCGACCCCATGTGTGTCACAGTGGAACTGTGCTTTTCTTCATCTTCTATGTTCATTTGGAAAAGAACAGAAAATATATTCTTTATGGGGAGATGTTGCTTATTCAAACTTGAGGCAATTATCACCATGTGTGTGGATTCAAGGACCTCACGATAACTCTAAGACTCCTTGGGAGATCACAAGACACAAACTGAGAAACTATTGATTTAAAACTTAAGATGGGAAGAGTAGCATTCTTTCTGTGTTTCAAGAATACATTGTGTATTCTCTGCATGGCAGTGTGTTAATTGTTCATTAAAAATTGCCTAAAACAAATACAGAAACAAATAACTACAACAACAACAAAAAAATGTAATAGAATAGCATTTCTCCTTAAAATATACACAAAAATAGTAGATGTTTCAGTATCTGTCCCCTAAAAATGTCTAAATTTTACTTTATCATTAAGAAACTTTTATAGATGTGATCTAGAGATAGTACCAACCTGTTCCCATCGAATTGATTCCAAATCATAGTGTCTCTACAGGACAGGGTAAAATTGCCTTATTTGGTTTCCAAGGCTGAAATCTTTACTGAAGCAGACTGCCACATCTTTCTCCCATAGACCGGCTGGTGGGTTCAAACTGCCAACCTATTGGTTAGCAGTCAAGCTGCTTAACCACTGTGACACCAGGGCTATGCCAAGAGATAGTATATATATACAGTATGTGGCAAATTCCACATCTAACTTTCTAAATCAAGAGAAAGTTTAATATAGATAACAAAACATCAAGACTTTTGCTAGAAAGCCTACAAAACTTTCGTTGTTGTCAGCAACCAAGACACTGCTTTCTATAAACCATCCCTTTTTCTGCTCCATAGAGATCCCATTCTTGCCACCAAGGCAACAAGACTTATTTTCCCATAGTGAGTTTTTCAGTGGGAAAATTTTAAAGTTAATTTTGGCTTGAAATCATATACTGTCTATCCATTTCAGAAAAGTTATGTAGAGGGTTGGTATTTTTTAAAAGTGGTGAGGGGGTAAGAGAGAAAGAGGTATAAATAGAAACACCAAGCCACAAGAATCAGATAAAAACAATTGCTAGGCTGAAATCCAGTGAAGAACAGAGAGAAGTATAGACTTAAAATATATAAGCACTGCAAAATGTTACAGAAAACTGTTACAGATGTTTTTTCTTCAAGCGTCTTTTAAAATACTTTTGTTTAGATTATATTGCTGAATTTCAACCAGTTTAAGAACGGATAATAGAGACTTAATTTTGACTTAGGACAAAAGCATTTGTTAGATTTTCAGTTCTCATGGTGTGTTTTCCCCCTTAATTACTTAATACTTATCAGTTAATTCAAAGTTCAATCGAGCTTGTTTGGTGTTTTGAACAGATGTAACTTCTTATACATCCAAGATTAATAGAAGGACAAAATGTGGAAGAGGAGAAAAATTTGTCTAAGTATTCTGAGTTTTAAACACACATTCATTTAGATTGCAAAGTAATTGGAAGCAGTTTGCATTTCTTTGAATCATCACAATGGCAAAAATAAATAAAGTGGCTTGGGAGGAGGAAAGGAAAGAAAAGCAAGCAGGGAAAATAAGATTCTGAAAAAACTCAGGGCACCACAAATGTTGCTGATTGGAACTCCTCCACATTTCTTAACTAAGGCTTACAATATAGAGGATGGGATGGAGGCTTAAAATACCACAAAAATTAGAATACAAACAGGCCTTTCAAATCCATATCCTGATCTCTCGGCCCCTTTATGCCGTCTGGGGAGTGAGCACTAAAGGCAGTGGGGAGGAAATAGACATGGCAGATGAAGCATCACTGGACTCTGTTTCTTCCCTCTAGGTACACCTGGTGCTGTGTTACCACAATAACCTGCAGCCATGAGCTCTGACTCTGAGATGGCCATTTTTGGGGAAGCTGCTCCCTACCTCCGGAAGTCTGAAAAGGAGCGCATCGAGGCTCAGAACAAGCCTTTTGATGCCAAGAATTCTGTCTTTGTGGTGGATGCCAAGGAGTCCTATGTGAAAAGTGTAATTCAGAGCAGAGAAGGAGGGAAAGTGACAGTGAAAACTGAAGGTGGTGCTGTAAGTTAATTAAAAAGGGGGGGGTGGGGGAGAAGGGGAGGTATAATTGACCCTTTTTTACTACCCAATTGATACCCACTGGTTCTTTCTTTTCTTAATAGACTGTCACAGTTAAGGAAGACCAAGTCTTCTCCATGAACCCTCCGAAATATGACAAGATCGAGGACATGGCCATGATGACTCACCTGCATGAGCCTGCTGTGCTGTACAACCTCAAAGAGCGCTACGCAGCCTGGATGATCTACGTGAGTGCCCCCTTCAATATTATTTTTCACTAACTCCAAGTGCTGTGGTAGTAACCAAATTAAGGACATGATTTTCATATTTTTCTACTGCAATATTAAGGCCAATCATTTGGTTACTATTTTCAGTTCTGATGTATTGCAGATGTACATGAGGAAAGCCATCTACTTAATACTTAAATAGTGGGTAAACTGAAAGCTTTTGTAGTGAGGGGTATTGGAAGGGGGCAAAATATCTTTGAAACCATTAAGCTTATGAGAAATGACATGGTATTTAAGTCTCTATCCCTTTGCCCTTAGAGCAGTATTTCCAAGGCTGCTTAATGAAGTGACTGCTTATTGAGAGATCCTGTCCTTTCCCACAGACCTACTCAGGCCTCTTCTGTGTCACTGTCAACCCCTACAAGTGGCTGCCAGTGTATAACCCTGAGGTGGTGACGGCCTACCGAGGCAAAAAGCGCCAGGAGGCCCCTCCCCACATCTTCTCCATCTCTGACAACGCCTATCAGTTCATGCTGACTGGTGAGTGAGTCCCTAATTACTTATAATTTTTATAGCCATTTGTAAAATGTATACTGATTACATTTTAGTATTTAAAGAATAAAACGTTCAGCACAAACTTGATAATTGAAATAATAAAATTTGGAAAATATATTCAGAATAAAATGCACCATTTCCAAAAATGTAAGCAATTTTGCTTAGAAAGCTGTACAAAGATCCAAATTAATTCAAGGTGATTCCAATTAAAAATTAACCAAATTTAGGCATCAATTCTGTACCTAAAATACCATCATCTTATATACCTAAAATAGCAACCCCTCCTTGGGTTTCCAAGGTGGTATCTCTATGAAAGTAGATTGCCCAGTCTTCCTTCTGAGGAGTCGCTGGTGGGTTTGAACCGTTAGCCTTCTGGTTAGCAGTCAAGTGTCTTACGCACTATGCCACCATAGCTCCTGATATGCCTAAAATATGCTTTGAAATCTCACAGTGACAAGTGAACACAAGCAGTCTAAGAAACATTGAATTGGACATTACACCAAGATAGGATTTTGATCTATCAAACAGGTGACTGAATGGAACATGAAACTGTTATTCATCTAATATTAACAGATTATTCTCATGGGTAATATGATGAAATAATGCATTATGTATTCTATTACATTAAAGATAAGATAGTAAGGAGTGCAACACCATGATTAATTGGCATATCTTTTGCTATTTACTTTGAAAAGAACGTTGTGAAAAGGAAAGCACAAATTGGTACAGTACTTATTTTAAAAGACAATTTTGAGTTTACAAGGACTATTTTAATCTATGTGCTAAGTATGTTTTTGAAGCATTATATTTGGTTTCTCTTTCACAGATCGTGAGAACCAGTCAATCCTGATTACGTACGTATATTTTATGTCTTTCTTTCTGTTGAGTTTTGATCACTGTAGTGGTTACCACTGTTTTAGATTCTTACTTTTTCTTATATTTGAACTTGACAGCGGAGAATCTGGTGCAGGGAAGACTGTGAACACGAAGCGTGTCATCCAGTACTTTGCAACAATTGCAGTTACTGGAGAGAAGAAAAAGGAAGAACCTACTTCTGGAAAAATGCAGGTAGGTTTGACATTAATCTGAGGACAGAAGGAATAAGAGATTTTTTTTTTTTTTTTTTTTTTTTTTTTTACCACAGTTATTTCAGAACCACAGAAACCAAAGGCATGTGATGGCAGAATTCAGAAAGTAACTCTTGGAAGGGCTTGCAATAAGGAGATGGATAGGACAATGTATTGGCAGGTTTAATGGGCCAAAGTGGGCCTGAGAGATACAGAAAACAAGACAATGTCAATGGCCTCAAATTGTCCTCCTTCTCATACACTTTAGAAAGCCTTACCCAAAATTTAAAGAACACTAAAGAAGGGGCAAAGGGAATGGAAGGGAGTAAATGGGAATCATATCAGAAGTCTGCAACTCATCTTTTCTAGCATTTCTTTACCTAACTTATAATTTCTTTTAAGGGGACACTTGAAGACCAAATCATCAGTGCCAACCCCCTACTGGAAGCCTTTGGCAATGCCAAGACTGTGAGGAATGACAACTCCTCACGCTTTGTAAGTTTATTTTTCCTCCTTCTTATGTGAGAATCAGCACTGGCTTTTCTGTACAGGTGGCATCAATATCTTTCTATCTATTTGGTCCATAACTAATGAAGTATTTTCTGCCTTTTAATACATACAGTAAGTCCTCCTTTGCCTTTTTAAGGGTAAATTCATCAGAATCCATTTTGGTGCCACAGGCAAACTGGCGTCTGCAGATATTGAAACATGTAAGTTAACAAATATTAGTGTTTGAGAATTCTTTTCTTTGGGGTACAGATGGGAAAACCTTATTCTCATCTATGTTGAGTGAATTTTTTTCATTGTGGCTTTTTCTTTTAAACATGCTTAATATGCTTTTCCAGATCTGCTGGAGAAGTCTCGAGTTACTTTCCAGCTAAAGGCTGAAAGAAGCTACCATATATTTTATCAAATCATGTCCAATAAGAAACCAGAGCTTATTGGTGAGAAGCATCTTTGATTTATTTCTACTAAGGAAGAGTAACAGCCCTTCCAATAAATTCCTCCAAAATGATTTTAATGATTAAAGAGTAACTCTGTCTAATTGTGTTATTTTCCATGTGTTCAGAAATGCTTCTGATCACCACCAATCCATATGACTTTGCATTTGTCAGTCAAGGTGAAATTACAGTGCCCAGCATTGATGACCAGGAAGAGTTAATGGCCACAGATGTAAGTATTATGTACAAATCAGAAAAAAGCAAATTTATTTTCCAGTATACAACACTCTTCTATTAGAGATAGGACAGAATCAGCAAAAGACTATAAACAGAAAATACCACCACTTAGGATTTCTTATGCCTGGAATAAAACTACAGGGCATTTCAATGTCCTCATACACGTGCTAGAAAGCTTAAAACCCCGTAATAAAATTTAGGTTTTTGTCATTCCTTCAAAAATCCGCTGCCATTGAGTCAATTCCAACCCATAGAGACCCCCATTGGGTTTTCAAGGCTGTAAATCTTTACGGAAGCAAAATTCCTCATCTTTCTTCTGTGGAAAGGCTAGTTGGTTTGACCTGGTTAGCAGCCAAATGCCTTAACCACTACACCACCAGAGCACCTTTGGCATTCTTCAGCTAATTATTTGTTATTCCTTCTTATCCTTTTTGGCTAACTTTTATCTCCAATGCTGATATTTCTCTTGAATTTATCATGTTAGACTTCAGACCCAAAAATCTGGGGAAAAGCTACAATGTTTCTACATTTTTATAACAGGATACATAACATCCCACAGTTCCTTTATAGTCAGATATTAACATGAACTATATTTCAAATGAACCTCTGAGGCCTTGTGGTATGGTCCTCTTACTTATATGAAGCATTAGGAGAACTGGGTTTTGTACCTCAAAAATAACCTTTTGGGGACTTCATGAGCCTTTCTATTTGTTTTTGGAACTATAGACCACCTTCCTTTTTAATAAGTATCAGTAATTTTTGGCTTTTTTATACATATCCTTTACATGTGTTCCATGTTTTCTTTTGAATTTGTGAGTAGTCATTCTTCTTTAATCATCTTTTATTTTAAAACTAGTGGGAATATGCCAGCATTGCTAAGATGAGGTTGAAAGTTGCTTGCAGAATATTTTTTCTTTTATAGTATTACTTTCAACAAGTCAATAAACTATTTGTATGTCTTTACCTTATAAATACCAGCTTTTACTCTCTATAAATTATTGTTATGTTTATATATCCAAAAGTTGTATGGAATTGTGAAATACTCTCTAGTCTGTGAAGGTTAATAAAACATGTAGCAATCTTATTCTTGGGCTTTTGTAATAATATCTAGTTTCTGTAAATAGGTAGAGTTAGTGAGCTGGAACTGAAAGGCAATAATAATCTGGGAGAAAGAGGCTCAATTGATAAGAATGGTAAATACAAATACTTTCTCTGATGACATGGGCCTCTTCAAAGCATTACACAGGCAACTGAGAAGAAATTAAAATCTGAGGGAAAAACAATTGAATAAAAGGAGCAAGACATTTTATCAACATCTCTTGCCTCTATGAATAATGACCAGGTATAATCCACTCCCAGGCACCTCACAGTCTGGTTTTGAGCTAAAGCATCTGGAAGAATATTCAGAGCCATTCTTATTCTCCTTACATCTTCTTTCTAACTGCATCCTTCATGCCCTGTGGGTTGGGAAGGCAGATGGTGATTATATATTAGGCTAGGACAATTAGGAGAAGAAGAAGCAAACAGAGATTTATGAGATGGAGAAAAGAAGGAAGGAAAGCCAGGAGACAATTGGGGAGTGTGGGACTGGGTAGCAAGGCCAGGCCAATGTGCAGTAATGGGGAAAGCACTGGTCTTGGCATCCAAAGTCCCACTTCTGAGTCCTGGCTGAATAAGTGGGGACAAGTCACATAATATCCTTACTGTCCACATGACTCAAATGGGAGGATTGACACATATCTCTCAGTGGGGAGCAGTGCCCCATGTGCTGAGGGAATCAGCTATGATTATAATTGTGAAGTAAGTTCATTACAACTCTTTCAACAGAGTGCTATAGACATCTTGGGTTTCACTGCTGATGAAAAGGTGGCCATTTACAAGCTCACAGGGGCGGTAATGCATTATGGGAACATGAAATTCAAGCAAAAGCAAAGGGAAGAGCAAGCTGAGCCAGATGGCACTGAAGGTAACACCTCCTGTTGATATCTTCCACTTGACAGAACAGACACCATCAGCTTCTCAGAAGCAGGGACCATGTTTTGGTTTCCTTGACTTATCTAATGAGAGGGAAATAATATTAGGGAAAAGAAATGATACACTGTCTGGTGTTTTACATGACTGAGCATTATTTGTGGAGATGTGATTTCTGCCCACTTCCTACTTCATTGACTTAATATAAGTCATATTTGCTATTTGGTTAAAATATTTTTAATCCATCTTACAGACAGAAAAATAAAATGAATGAATAATTTGTGTGTACACTACTCCTTTAGGTTAGGTGTCTCAAACTATTTTTATCTGTCTACTTTAGCTATACTTTAAATATGACACTGTGTTATCTATTCCCCAAGCTCCAAACTATCATTGCAAAAAAATGACAAAAGTTAATGTGAACAGTGGTGGTACTTTTGAAGCAATAGTACACAAATGATCAGGTTTCACCATGTTTGCACAGATTACTCTTGAGAAGATCTTTTTTCTTCGTCATCACCATTCACACTTTAAGTATTATAACCGCCATTCTTACTTTGTTCATGCAGTTGCTGACAAAGCTGCCTATCTGACCAGTCTGAACTCTGCTGACCTGCTCAAAGCCCTCTGCTTCCCCAGGGTAAAGGTTGGCAATGAGTTCGTCACCAAAGGGCAGACCGTGCAGCAGGTATACACAATTTAAGCCCCATGATTAACTCAAAAGTTCATTCACTAAAAAAACTAACCTACTCCTTTTCTTGAAGGTGTACAATGCAGTGGGTGCTCTGGCCAAGGCCATCTATGAGAAGATGTTCCTGTGGATGGTCACCCGCATCAACCAGCAGCTGGACACCAAGCAGCCCCGACAGTACTTCATTGGGGTCTTGGACATTGCTGGCTTCGAGATCTTTGATGTAAGTAGTGAATTGACAGAAAATTATTAAATGCAAATCACCTGTTATTTGATCAGTATTATTAGAGGATTCAAAATTATCTTCACCAGAAGTACAAACTGGAATTTATAGTGAAGAGTCCATGAAAAGATTCTTGAAAACAAGTAAATAGATAGAAAAGTAGAGAGGATTTTATTCTTTCCAGTCTAGACATACTAAAGAATGATCTATGAGAGGCTAAAATATTCAAAATCTATCCTGTATCCAAGCAGATCAGTATACAAACTATTTTTTAAAGTAAACTAAGGAAATATTAAAAAATATACTTATTTAACAATATTTTGCCTAATATGCATTATTTCATGCAGTTACTTTGGAAAGCAAAGAATTTGAGGAGTTAATTCTCTTTTGTTTAGACTTATATTACCTATTAAGAAAACAATCTGGAGGTCTGTAATTTAATAAACCAGCATGCCTTAAATACAGAAGAAAACAGTAGATTTTCTGTCAATACAAATACTTAAGTTAAGAATGATGGTGGCGTAGCGCCTAAGGCATTTGACTGCTAACCAGATGTCTGGCAGTTCAA